TGTGATGTAGGGTCGATGTAGGGTCGATGTGGGGTCGATGTGAGTCGATGTAGGGTCGATGTAGGGTCGATGTAGGGTCGATGTAGGGCTAGGAGTATAGAAACCATGGCTAATGAACAATAAAGACAAACGACTCTTATTACAAAAAACATTTAAATTGTTGTGCGTAATTTAAATAAAATCAAACACATTATGCTCTAAGAAGTAGACCGCATTAACTTTGTAAACGTCTCGAAGAAATAAATGTATTTTAAAACTGAATTCTTGTGTAAACTTTTGGCTGCAAAGCGCTCCTGTCTTGTCTAAATTGCTTTCTCTCTTCCAATATAAGCCTCCTTATTGTTGTGTTTCCAACCCGCACAGATAACCCACGACGCCCGCGCAATGAATATCCTAATCTACCCGTATTTATCCACACACTAGAAAATGCAAATCTCTGATAAAAGTTAATCTTTTAATTAGTTTCACCCTAACAACACATAGCAACCGGTGTGCTTTAATATAGCTTAAATTTATTAACCTTATCCGAGTTTTAGTACTTTAAAAACCTAGCACTAAAATATAGAAATCGCTTGACAATTATATATCATAACCTTTAACTTCCATGTGCACGTGTTTATATAACTCAAGATAGCAATAAATGAATTAAAAAAAACACCTGAAATCTTATGCAAACTTTTGCCTCCAAAGCACGCTTTTCCGCCCGCAAAACCACCCGCCTGATTAGTGTACAAATATGTTGTACGTTAATATATGCATGCACTCAAGCGTCGCTAATGACTTAGCAACACATAACAACGTATATAACGACTACATGTTTTTATCGCAAAATATATTACAACTGTTCCAATTCTAACTTATATTCTTCATAAGCTTACTTATGATCTGACTCGGTCATCTTAACAGTATATATGTATGTAGAAGATTTGCTAAATAACGTTGAACAACATGCAAATATTGACCTTAACAACGACGTTGACAACCCGGGATTAGCAACTGTTTAGTTCTGTTTAAAATATGTCTTGATTTTTGTGACGAATAGATTCCTCGCTATAATTTTGTAAACATACGAAAAATCCTTCAATATACTCGTGGAAATTTACGTCTTCCTAGCAAAGATACGGCTATAACACTGCTATATATTAATTTCGATAACAATTTTGCCTTGTGAGGGACTCGAGCTATTCATAGCAAACCAAGATCAATCCCTCCATTGTACCATACACGTGGGGGGACGCTAAAAATGCGTAGTCAGCAAGTTTCGCCCGATCGTGTTTAAGCTCGCCCGCGTGACGTCATTGCATATAATTATGACGTATGTTAATGATGAGTGACATCATTACTC